AACTTCAAAAGCAAAGCCTTCATTTCTTTTTTATTCCCTTCTTTTATGGGAGTATATTCTCAAGTATCTTCTTAAGTAAAGGTGCTCCTTTCTTTGATGTATCATTGCATGACTGAATATGGCTTTTATTTTTCTTTTCTATTGATTATTTGGTGGGGTGTAAAATTCTCGGTTGAAAATCATCTTTCCTCAGAAATTGGAAGGCTTTACCCCTAGTGTTTTCTGGCATCTAGTATTGCTGATGAGAAACCTGATACTATGTTTATTCTCATTTCTTTGTAGGTGACCTGCCTTTTCTCTCTGAAATTTATGTATATAAAAATATATTTATCTTTATATATTTATATATAAATATCTTTATATAAATATATAAATCTATTTATCTTATATTAATATATATTTATTTTTAGTGTTTGAAAATTTTATGTGGATGTGTCTAGTTAATCAGTCTATTTTTAGTCATCCTTCTGAGAATGTGGTACTCCTTTCAGTCTGAAGACGTGTATTTTTTGACTTACAGAAGGTTTTCTTTAATAATTATATCCTTTTTGTAGTCTTTGTTCTCTTTTTCTGGAGCTTGTATTAGTTGGGTAATGGACATTCTGGTTTGGTCTCCATCTCATATTTTCTTCCATATATATTCATACTTTATGTGTATTGTACATGTCTGTATTTCTCTACCTTCTGAGAATTTTCTTCAACTTTACCTACCAACTCTTCTATTGAACTTTCTGTATTGGCAATTATATTTTAAACGCTGGCTTCTACTAATTCTTTAGTTATACTTTGAAAAATAGCATCTTGTTCTTTTTTTATAAAGATACAGTCTCTTCTAAAATCTGAAAAGGTGTCAACGTTTAAAAAAAGGTCTCTTTGGGGCTTCCCTGGTGGCGCAGTGGTTGAGAGTCCGCCTGCCGATGCAGGGGACGCGGGTTCATGCCCTGGTCCGGGAAGATCCCACATGCCGTGCGGAGTGGCTGGGCCCGTGAGCCATGGCCGCTGAGCCTGTGTGTCCGGAGCCTGTGCTCCACAGCGGGAGAGGCCACGACAGTGAGAGGCCCGCGTACCGCAAAACAAAAACAAAAACAAAAACAAAAAAAAGCTCTCTTCTATTAGCTCTGAGTTTTCTCTCCTCCTCTTCCCCTCCCTCCTTCCCTCCCTCCCTCCTTCTCTTTCTTTCTCTCCCTCCCCCTCTCTTTTTTCCCTCTGTCTGTCGTAATATTTTTCTGTCACGGTACAAGCTTTTCTCAAATTTGGGGACAGAAAGGCTCCTTTTATATCAGTATGGCTTTTTGACTGTCATGCTTTGCTCAAGCAAGTCCCTAGAGAGCTAACCAGTACAGGGGTGGAGAGTAAATGCCAGCTCTGGGAGGCCTTTATTTTGAAGCACTAACGCTTGCACTAGTCAACTTAATTCTCCCAGGACAGTTTGTCCGATTTCCTTGAAGAAGAACGTTCTGATTTTTGCCTGGGTTTAGCTATGGGCAGTTCTTTGTGAAGGGGCAGGAAAAGAGTGGGGATGTGTGAATTGTCCTCTATATAGATCTTCAGTCATACGCTGTTTTTAGCGGCACGTCTCACTTCCATCATCCTGGTACCTGCCTTCTTTAAATCCAGAGTCTCCTTGGAGCTCTGCTGGGTAGATTGCTCCCACCCCAGCTGTAGCATAAATCCCAAACTGTGGCTTCTTTTCTCTCCTTCTTCAATCACCAGACTTCCGTGTATTTTCCATCTTCTAGACTTTTGCTGAACTCTCTTGAGTGCTCGTGATCTTTGCAGTGTTCTTGGGTTATTGCGAGTTTATATCATTTTAATACTTTTTTCTTTTCATTTTAATGGAGTCCAGAAAGGAGAGGAAATAACTTTTCTTAGCCTATTGTCTTGAACTGGAAGCCCTCTCACTATCTTTTGGAGTTTATTAATTCACCAATACTTGTTGAACACATACTATATACCAGGTGCTGGCTTAGGCACTAGAGATGCAAACTGGAATCAGATATAGTTTTTCAGATATACATCTAGTGTTTCTAGATCTAGAAGGAGACAGATGTTTAACAAGTAACTGTGTGTTGCAGTGTTGAAAGTGAGTAATAAAAGCACATACAAGATGATGAAGATCGCAGAAGGAAGAACAGTTAATTCTGTTGGCAGTAGAAGGGAGGTTACAGAATAACCAAGTATACCATTTAAGAAGTTTCTATATCTTTCAGGCCACAGCAGTCTGAAGACAAAGTGGTGTCATATTATCAGGAACAAAAAAGTCACCATTTCTATAGCTCAGAGGTCCCCAACCTTTTTGGCACCAGGGACCGGTTTCGTGGAAGATAATTTTTCCACTGACGGGGGCGGGGGGGCGGTGCGGAGAGGGATGGTTCAGGAGGTAATGCGAGTGATGGGGAGAGATGGGGAACGGAAGATGAAGCTTTGCCCGCTTGCCCGCCGCTCACCTCCTAATGGGCAGTTCGGTTCCTAACAGACCGTGGACTGCTACCGGTCCGCGGCCAGGGGGTTGGGGACCCCTGCTCTAGCTGATGTAAGACTTCGGTTGAGTAGCTCCAATGGCAGAGTGAGACACAAACCATGGTACAGGTAGTATGGGAGAGATAATCCCAGGAAGCACAATGAGGAAGTAGGGAGGATGAGACAGGAAAGGAAGAAAATCCAGTACAGGTATTTTATTGAGCTGATTGCTGCTGTGGGCAACTGGGGCTCTGAAGAAATTTGTAGAAAGCACCTAAAGTAATTTTTTAATGGGCAGGAAGCTGGGGCATTTATCAACTGTTGAGGGTTGCTTTGGGAGGTGTTATTTCTCTTTCTCTTCTGGGCTATGGCTACGTGCAGGCTCAGTCATCTTCCTTGGTTTTGGAGAAAATCCCTGAGCAGAAAAGCTGGGGATGCTCTGGTAGGAGCTTGAGTTGGAATCTGGCGTTGCACGGAACTGTACAGAATCTGGTGGGCTGAAGGGAGTGTCAAGGACCGCAGAAACACTTTGCTGCAGACCTCCATCTCCCCCTCAAGAGTTTCTGATACTGTGCAGGGCAACCTCATGTGCGATTGCAAACATGTGGCCAGAGGCCTGTGCAGTAGTAGCTGATGTGAGAGCCCCACAGAGCTCCTCACATCTGTGGTGGCCACTGGCCCAGTGTGACTCTTCAGTCTGCTGCCCCCATCTCTGCCGTCTCCCACTGAGCCATATCACGGCCACACTGTGTCAACATCAAACCACCGAGGGTGGGAAGAATCCCGTCTGCCTGACTTTGTACCCTAACACTCTGACTTTGATCCTAAAAGCATTAAGGCATTGAGAATCTAGGAAACGTCTGTGAAGCTGCAAATGTCACCTGGAAGAGGAACACCTCGATCCACTGGGACTTCTTCCTGCATCATCTGGGGTCAGTTAATATGTTTTGTACCAGAGAGCACAGAGTTGAGGGAGTATGAAAGCAGATGGGTATGTTTTGTTGTGGGAATCAGGAGTCTAGACATATCTGGGAGGAAATGAGTGCTTTCTCTTCCCTTTTGAGATCCAGGCAGGAAAGGCAAGGAGTGTGAAGAAGGGAACTAGCATGCTGAGGGGCTTCTATGTGTCTGATGTTTTCTAATATTAGATCTCATTTAACTTTTATAGCACTTCACACTACTGTGAAGAAGTAAAGGTTATTATTTCCAAGGCAATCGAAGCAACAAAAATTCAGAGAGAATAAAGCGTTTTTCGAAGGCTACAGGTTTAGGAAGAAGCAGAGGCAGGATTTGAACCCTGGTCTATTTAGTTCTATAATTTGATCAACCATAGAGCAGCTGAAAGGAGGAAAGAAGGGAGAAAAATCAAATGTTAAATTAATTAAATTGGAGGAGAACACTTGCCACAGATTTTTTTTTTTTTTTTTCTTTTGCGGTACGTGGGCCTCTCACTGTTGTGGCCTCTCCCGTTGCAGAGCACAGGCTCCGGACGCGCAGGCTCAGCGGCCATGGCTCACGGGCCCAGCCGCTCCGCGGCATGTGGGATCTTCCCGGACCAGGGCACGAACCTGTGTCCCCTGTATCGGCGGGCAGGCTCTCAACCACTGCACCACCAGGGAAGCCCTTGCCACAGATTTTGATTCCAGTTTGCACTCTGAACCATCTAAGTGGTCCCCAAAATAAATTCCATGGGTATAAGCAACCGTTCATGTGAAAAAGGCCTGGGGGATTGAGCTGACCTCAAGTTCAGCAAGTCATCAAGTGGCTGCTGCTACTACTAAGAAGGGAAGGTGTTCTTACCTGGCAAAATAGAATTACAGGGGAATTGTAGGAGGTCATAGACCTACTGTGCTTTGTTCTGTTTAGAATTTACCTGGAAGTCCAGGTCACCACATTTCAAGTGATACTAGGAGACTTTCAAATCAGTGTGTTTGCTAAAAGAACCAATAGGAAGCTGGTGGTTTAAAAAAAATCTGATGTGCAAGGTGTATTGTGGGCACCAGATATTAAGCTGGAGGAAGAGAACACTAAGAGATACATGGTGGCTGTTTTCAGATATGTAAAGGATTTGTAACCCAAGACAGTGGATCGAAAATTACGAAGGGAAGAAAGCACTTATTTACTGAGACCTACTGTGTACCAGCCACTGCTCTGGGACAAGTATTTGGACTCAACCTAAGGAAGATGGGAAAAAAGCTGACATGTCCATCATTACGGTAGGAATTCTCTCAAAGTGGGCAACTGGACATACCAAACAAAGACCCAGTTAGTGCTAGACTAAGATCTTGTAGAAGGAATTTCAGCATAAGGCAAGCAGTTTGCATGGAAGATGAATGCCTTCTCAGATCTATCTGTTCACCGTTAATAAATGTGTGGATAATCTTGGCCACTTATCACTCTTCAAGATCATTGAGAATAGGACACCCATCAATCAGATATATTAAAGTGAAAATTAAAAAAAGAAAAAAAGGGAATTCCCTGGTGGTCCAGAGGTTAGGACTCCGTGCTTTCACTGCCGAGGGCGTGGGTTCGATCCCTGGTCAGGAAACTAAGATCCCGCAAGCATGCAGGGCGTGGCCAAAGGAAAAAAAAAAAGTGAAAGTAAAGCTTCTCTGAGACAAGGATTAAAAATTCTAAGATCTTCCAGAAAGAAAGCAGATCACATACAAAGGAACATGAATCTTGAAATGAGAACTGCAAATTGAGCAATGAGATACCACTTTACAGTGATAAAATGAACAAAAAATTGCAAGGCTTGGTGATTCCAAGTGTCGGTCAGACAATTTCACACAGGGAAAGATAAACTTTTTTGTGCTTCTGACGGGAAGGTGAGCTGTCACAGCCATTCTGGAAACCAGTCTGTGGCTCCGTCGTGAAACTGAGAAGAATACATATTCTCTACTACACGATTCCCTCTCTAGTCATATGCCCCAGAGAGACTCTTGCACAGGTCTATAGAGATGGCATAGGAGAATTATGTTTTTTTGCAGTCGTTTGTGGTGGTAGGCAGTTGGAAGGGACTTTGTCTATTGCAGTGAGAATGAGTAAGTAAACCAAGGTGGACATCTAGTATGGAATATATACTATAATGCAGTCACAATTCAATGAACTAGATGTACCTATGGTTTAACATGGATTGAGCTTTAAAACATAGTGAAAAAGGGAAGAAAGTGAATAAGATTTATGCAGTATCATTTGCAATATGAAAAATAAGAATACGTGTGTAAAAAACATTATCTTTCAGGGATACATACAGATGCAAAGATTAACTATACACATTAGAGTGGGCAGGGAATGGGAGTGAGGATGTGATGGGGAAAAAGAGGCACAATAGAATAAGGTAAGAGACAGTGGTGCTCAGAGAGCATGCCAACCTCTGTACCTCTGATGATGTGCTGTGAACTGAAAAAGTTTACAACCTTTTTTCTTACACAGCAAGGAAAATATAATTTGTGCTTTTTGTAAGCCTAGGTGAAATCATAACTTATGTGTTGTTCTGCTTGCCAATTTATTTTTTAATTGTATGTTCACTTGTTTAATATTTAACAATTTTTATGGAGCATCCACTGCTCAACATATATATACCTGGTACAGTTCTAGGGCTCGAAGCACAGGGAATACAGCTATGAATGACACGCCCACAGGATAAATACCTAGAAGAAGCATTGGGTCAGAGGGTAAGCACAACTAAAATTTAATAGATATTGCTAAATTGTCCTGAAAATGTCTATACCAACTGGTATTTTTTATTAGGTGAGGTATTTTTGATGTGGTATTAATAGGGGCACTTTCCAATTATTTGTTTCTCTAAATGTGGATGAAAGGGAGTGAGAGGAAGGGAGTTAGGAAGAATCCTAAGGAAAGATGGGATTTGAGCCGTACATTGTGTGTGAGCTGAGACAGCCCTGACAGAGCAATGTCTGATGTGTATGAGAGGCACATGCTCCCCAGGCCTCCTCATCCCAGCCCAGCCTCTCCTGACCTGGGCATTTCCCTCTTGGGTCATTTGGCAGTGGGCTCTGACATCAAGCACCTGCCATGGCAGGGGGAGAGGAAAACCCATCTCATGATTATTCCTTACCCATTGTTACCTTAGCAGGAGTGCAGCATCTGTGCCGTGGGCCGGCACCCCTACCAGGCTTCCGATGTGCTTTCCATCCAACTGCCACAGCCCTAGATGGCAACCCCTGGGCTCCACCCAGAGCTCGTGGCGGAAACAGGATGTAATGCTTCCAAGCGGGGTGAGCAGCAATGGCTTATCTGCAGTGGTCAGTGAGGCAGACAGAAACATTCTCCGTGACCTTCCTTCCTTTGCGTGTTTGAAAACCAGGACCCTACCCCCCTTTATGGAGGAGGCAACTGAGGAGTTGTAACGAAGTGGGGTATAAACATGAAGTGTTTGTGTTTCTTCCAGTGACTGATTTCTGAAGTGTTCAGCTGAATTCCCATTCCCCACCCTTTAGCATCTTTGGCAGATTCCATAACTCTCTGCTCTCTTTCGGTAATAAAAATTTCAGTCCATTGTGGTTTAAAGTGTCAATCTCAGAATCTCGGACTCAGTTTAACTCTAATCTCCTCCCTCGTCCCAACCACGGGTTTGAGCTGAGGCTTGGGAGATCTGGGGCAGGAGTGTATAAACTGTCTTTTCACTTTCCCACAAATCCAGCACTTTGGAATAGAGAGGGGGCTGATAGGCAGGAGTAGGGTGGCAATGGAGGAGAAACAGTCTACAGTCTACAGTCGTCTGACCCTTTCCTGGGTCAACCAGTATGTTTTTCTATAGGGAGTCATCTTGTCATTTGGGGGTTGGACAATTCTTAGCATAGAACTGTTCTGTACATTTCAGAATACTTAACACTTTCCCCCTTGACCTCCACACAGATTCCCATAGCACCTTTCAGTCTTTATGACGTACAACACTTTCCAAAACACCTCCTACAGGAGCCATTCTGCCCTGGTTGAGAACCACTGGAACCTTCTTGGGTTGGGGCCAAGGAGAAGGGACGGAGGACCAAGATCTTAGATTCCTGGGCCTGAGTCGGGGGCGGAAGGAATCCTGCTTGTCTTCTGGTTGGGTCTGGCTTCGTTTGGATCTTTCTGCTGCTGTGTGTCAGTCTCTGTAAAAGAGGCTGTGATTGAAAATCTAAGGCTGTTGTTCATCTTCTTTTGGACCTTTCTATTGTTGAGGACGAACTTAGAGAGGGTAGCTGTGTCTTCCTTTGCTCCCAACAGTGATTCATGCTTCCAGCACTTTCTCAGGGGAAGGGGTAGCCCTAGGGTAAATGGGTTCACTTCCCTTCACCTGAAAGCCCCTTGAGCAGACCCCCAATTCTGCTCCTCCGTCTAACTCCGTGCTCCTGTAACGCTATGTCCTGTGCAGTAGCCGTGGGAACCGCTAGAGCACTCTTGAGAAACCTCTCATAGGTTGCCTCCATCTTCTTCCCAGCAAGGATTTTGCCTTCATAAATCTCCGGAAGAGCATGAGACACCAAGCTCTACATTCACGGATGTCTCCAGACTCTAGGGGAAGCATGTCAAGTACATCAAGCTCTCCCAGGAGACACCTTACAACGCTCTACTTGGATGGCAATCCCAGGATGGGACTGAAGATTGTAAGGGTGAGGTGCCAGCTTCCCGTTTTTCATATACCCGCAGCCTCTAAACGTGATTATCTTGCAACCTGCCCATCTCTTGGCTTTATGAGGAATGGGGAAGCACACCGCTCCGGTTCTAAAAATATTTCTCCCCAAGAACCCATGAGGTTGGTAGACCTCAATTCCAACTCTGTATCCCCTCTCTTTCTTTTAGATTACCTTGGAAAAGGTTCTGTGCATGTACGGGGTGGGGAGGTTGGGGTGATGTTGGTAATGGTAGTAGGAAATTAGTAGTTCTGGTGATTTTCAGAAAGCCCTTTGTCAGCTCACTTTAATGGGTGGTGTATTTAGGTCCTTTTTTGTCCTCGGCCATGAACCCTGTCCCTATTCCAGGGCAACAGGAAAAGTCCTACTCAGCCTCTTCTGATATAAGAACAGCCTGCGAGGGGAAAACTTCCAGAGTTTTGACACTAGGCCTGATGCCAGATGTAGAAACTGGAGGATAGGACCACATTCTCAGAATTAAACAAAGAGGAAAGGAAAGCTCCCCCTCCATAGCCTAAGAGCCCACATTTATCTCCGTTGGCTGTTGGTCTCTCCTTTTAAATATTCTATGGCAGGTGGAGAACGAAAGAAGAAAATACGTGTCGAGAGAACAAATCGAGGTAGAAAGACCATCTGCGGGGAAGAAAGAGATGGTCTGCTGCTCTCTGTGCTTAAGGAGTATGGAATGGCTGGGAACTTCCCGAGGTGGAAGTGAGGTTCCATCTTCTGATACCACAGGAGGACAAACATTTACAACTAAAACCCTTCCAACTGTCTGTCCATCCATCCACCCACCCATCCACCCAACAGGTGTTATTATATGTCTACTCTGAGACAGGTACTTAATTATTTTCATTATTAATGAAAATAATCTTTGTGCCATGACTTTTCTCTCCTTCTATACCTGCCTCATATGATCTTCCTGTCTAGGTATAGAACTATTAGGACCATATGTTCCTAGATACCTTGCCGGGCAGAGGCCCCATTACGGAGCAAAGTGGACCAGGGAAGATCCCTAGGGGCTAGAGTTTTGGGGCTGCTGATCTCCTGAAGTTCTTAATAAGTAATTTAATTCCTCTTTGTTTTTTTAATTTATAAAATGAGATATAAATGTAATTCAGATTTTTTTTCTATTTGGTAATTGTGAGCTTTAGAGAAAAGGATCTGAATTATACAATGACTGTGTGTATCAGTGACGTAGAGAGATATACGTATACTCAGCTATAGATGCAGATATTATTATTCCTGTTATTTAGATGAGGAAACAGAATGTCAGAGGGGTTAAGTCTTACCTAAGGACTCAGAGTACTGGTAAGAGTCTGTATTTGAATTTCACACCATAATGCCTCTAAGTCAGTAGGGAAGATAAGTTAAAGGGAAGGAAGATAAGTTAAAAAAGAAGAAAGGGAAGATAAGTTAAAAAAGAAGAAATCACATGTATTCCACAAAACATATGAGGCCTTCAGAACACTATCCTTATGGCAGTGCTTTGGGGAGGATACTGAGGAGTTCATTATTTGTGTGATTTAAAATTTGTGTCTATAACTGGTGTTTGCTTTTCTTGTTATTGTTTTCATGTCTGCTTCTTAGTAATATAGTTGGCTTAACATCTTTGTAAGAACTTCCCCATTCCCAGAGCCTCATGGGGGCCAGACTCCCTTCTTTTGCTTCTTCCCAGGAGGGCAACATAAAGATTTGTGCTTCACAGATATGACAATAGCAGTTAGTCTCCAAAGATCAACCCAACAGCTCTTAGAATTCATATCCTTCATGGTATTCTCCCCTTGAATCTGGCCCTGCCTCGTACTCACTGTTGACCAATAGAATTTGGTGGAAATGATGCTTCAGAACTTCTGAGGCTAGATCATAAGAAACTTTGCAACCTCTGCTTGGTTTTTGTGGAATCCTTGTTCTTAGGATGCTCCCTTTTCTGAACTCTCCCTGTTGGAACCCACCTGCCATGAAAGACCTAAGTTACGTGTATGGTCATGTATTGGTGCTCTGCCAGTAGCCCTCCCTGGCCTCCCGGCTGACAGCCAGCATCACCTGGCAGCCATGTGAGTGCACCATCTTGGATATGGAGCCCAGCCCCATCATTTAAATGGCTAATGCAGTCAGATAACTTCTGGCCCAGCCATCACATATGACTGTAACTATATGAGAGACCTTAAGCAAAGACTGCCTCACTGAGCTCACTTAACCCACAGAACCATGAGAAAGAAGAATAAATTATAGAGTTTTAAGCCGTTATGTTTAAGGTGGTTTATTACATAGCAGAAGATAACTGGAACAATTCCTCTGGGGAGAGGCCAGACTCCTAGGCTCGAGTTGACCATTGGAGCTTGGGAGTTAGAATCTGGACCTTATTAGCATCTTGACCTCGTGCAAGTTCCTTCCCTTCTTTTTATATCAGTGTGCTCATCTGTAAAATGGAGACAATAATAGTACAGTCCTCATAGGATTTCTGTGAGAATTAAATGTGATGATCTGTGTAAAGGACTTAATGTGGTACCTGGCATTTACTAAGCACGGACTAAATAATTATTGAAATTAGTGGTTTTATGGAAAGTGTCTTCTAAACACAGCCATTAATTACATTTTTCTTTATTTTTGTCTTAGTCTTTTTTCTACCAGTCCTAACCTACCAGATCCCCTGGAAGCCAGACATGCAAACTTTGTGGCAAAGCTGCCTTGTACTATTTTTGCCACAGATTTTAACTGAAGGGTGGATTTTCTGAGTTGACCTGATTATTTCTTGGGTTGAGGGAATATGAACCTTCTCTTCACCCATTTTGATCTCATCTCTTCTTCAAATGCCCTATCAGTTTTGCTTTTCCTTCAGTTTCCTCCAGGGAATTGCTTTTCCTGATCTGACGGGCAGAGGGAATTGAGTGGGTAATTGATGTATAAAGATGACAAGAATGAGGGTCATTGGGATGAAAATGAAAACTGACACTAAAATTGTCCTCTGTGGTCTCTTAATGACTTGTGGCTAAGAGCATTATGCTGTTTCCATAAAAGGGAAGCAAACATATACTAGGGTTTGTTGAAATGCCAAGATGAGCGAGGCTTTCCAGAATAGCAAACATTTTCCTGTGACTTTACAGCTCCTGTAATTATGTTCATGCGGGACCTGGGGGTGCACCATGACCACCAGGAATCCTACCTCCTCCCATGCCCGTACTGTAGATGCCAAGCTTCAACAACAAAATCGCATTGAAACCTTAGCTCTCTGAGCGGTGTGCTCTGTACCTAACCTACCTCCTTCCTCCCCATAGATTTGCTTTTTTTTTTTTTTTTTTTTTTTTACAGTCAGGACATGACTTAGAAGAGAGGGCCAAGTGACTTATGTTGGGAATTTTACGCACACTAGGAATCTACATGTAGGGGTGCGATAGATAAGGAGAAAGATTGCTATATTTCATTTAGCTTTGTTTCTTTGTCTTTGATAGAAAAACGTCTGGTTTAGGTCTTCAATTTGTACCTGAAAGAAATCTAAACCACAGAAATCTTGAAGAAAATTTTATCATCTGAGATATGGGGGAGCGGGGGTGGGGGGGCAGTGACTTATTTTTTGACACTTTACAGCAGAAAATTCCCAGGGACCAGTTACCATGAATCAAACTAGTTACCAGCAGCACACTGGTTACTTGAATGATAGTTTTTTTGGTTTGCCTGAAACTCCGCACTGTGGTTAACACTGTTCGGCTCCACATGAGCTTGGCATACAGTTGGCACACCATAAATGTCTGATAATAGAATGAAAGAATGATACACATCTGCCAGTCACTCAAACCAACTGTGGCTGCTTCTTCTCATCAAGTCGACTTCGATCACGAGTTTTGCCTGTGTTTTTAAACTTGCATCAACCTCTGTAGTTCTAGCTGCTTCTTTTTCCTTTTTATGTCTGGAGACAAAGCCCACATTCTTATTATCTATCTGAGACAGCGGGCCAGGTAATTGAATTTCATATACTGTGGTGTGGAATGAAAGATGAGTCCTGACTCTTACTTCATGAAAAATTATCTATGCTTTGTAATGGTATAATTCTGTTGCATGTTTGTTAACGGTGATCCATATTTCTGAATTCTTGGTGTCTGTGATGGTGGAAAATTATACATTTGGAATAAAAATTTGAAAATCTAGATTTTGAGTAATAGATTTTTGAATCAATAACTAATTTAATAAAAGGCTTATGTTTGAGTTAGTTGCTGTATTTAAGCTCTGTTGATTAGTATGGAAAATCATTACTCACTAAGGGGTGATGGCTTACTGGCTCTAGGAGGGAAAAACTTATGGTCTTAGTGCACTTTTAATCAAATTGATTTCCTTATCAGGAACAAGCATGTTTTATTGACAGTTTTGCCCAAGAGCTTAAAGACTGAACATAATGAGATTTCCTTTGTTTTTGTTTTTTCCAATTTTGAAAGAAAGGCTTCCCCACTGGAGTCTAGAGATTAGCCTCATCTGGTCTACTAGCCATGTGAAGTCTGGAACTGTCAATCTGTGAAATACATGGAAAAAGACATGACTTATCTGTAATCATCTTTCATTTTCCAGTACTCAGTGGTCAAGGTGAAAGTTTGTAGTTTTGGCTTTGGAAGCTTCCATTGCTATTTCCTGTTCTATCCTCATCCTACTTTCAAGTGATTATAGAATATATGTTTCTATAGTCTTTCTTTATTTTAAACCATTCTGCCCCCTACCCCCCAATATTCCCCTGTCCCTAACTCTCTGAAGCTTCAAGTGATAAACTGGCAGGGGAAAATTGATAGATGAACAGAAGGAAAAATAGATCCAATTTATGTTTGTTTTTTTTTTTACATCTTTATTGGGGTATAATTGCTTTACAATGGTGTGTTAGTTTCTGCTTTATAACAAAGTGAATCAGTTATACATATACATATGTTCCCATATCTCTTCCCTCTTAAGTCTCCCTCCGTCCCACCCTCCCTATCCCACCCCTCCAGGTGGTCACAAAGCACCGAGCTGATCTCCCTGTGCTATGCGGCTGCTTCCCACTAACTACCTTACGTTTGGTAGTGTATATATGTCCATGCCTCTCTCTTGCTTTGTCACAGCTTACCCTTCCCCCTCTCCATATCCTCAAGTCCATTCTCTAGTAGGTCTGTGTCTTTATTCCTGTCTTACCCCTAGGTTCTTCATGACATTTTTTTCCCTTAAATTCCATATATATGTGTTAGCATACGGTATTTGTCTTTCTCTTTCTGACTTACTTCACTCTGTATGAGAGACTCTAGGTCTATCCACCTCATTATAAATAGCTCAACTTCGTTTCTTTTTATGGCTACGTAATATTCCATTGTATATATGTGCCACGTCTTCTTTATCTATTCATCTGATGATGGACACTTAGGTTGTTTCCATCTCCGGGCTATTGTAAATAGAGCTGCAATGAACATTTTGGTACATGACTCTTTTTGAATTATGGTTTTCTCAGGGTATATTACCAGTAGTGGGATTGCTGGGTCATATGGTAGTTCCATTTGTAGTTTTTAAGGAACCTCCATACTGTTCTCCACAGTGGCTGTATCAATTTACATTCCCACCAACAGTGCAAGAGTGTTCCCTTTTCTCCACACCCTCTCCAGCATTTATTGTTTCTAGATTTTTTGATGATGGCCATTCTGACGGGTGTGAGATGATATCTCATTGTAGTTTTGATTTGCATTTCTCTAATGATGAATGAAGTTGAGCATTCTTTCATGTGTTTGTTGGCAGTCTGTATATCTTCTTTGGAGGAATGTCTATTTAGGTCTTCTGCCCATTTTTGGATAGGGTTGTTTGTTTTTTTGTTATTGAGCTGCATGAGCTGCT